ATGCGCCCAGTGGTTCTGTCTCACTGTGGTTCTCGAGAGCATGGCCTGGCAGGGGACACACAGACCCGCTGGCTGCATGGAAACTGCCCTTTCCACCAGGCCTGCCTTGGGCCACCAGGAACACCCTGGTAGTACGTTGTCAGAGCTGCGGCAGCCTCCATGAAGGAACTGGCAGCTGCCACCTGCCTCACTCACATCACCTCGGCCTCTGCTGCGGTACCTGCAGGAAGAGGTGGAGAAGCGTTCCTGGGTGTTCTGGCAGGGGCTCTGTTCACCAAACTACATTTTGCCCAAACAAGACTCCTTGGGCAAGAGGTGTTGGCCTGTCCCTGTTGGCATGTCAGAATCTGTTTCCACTCTGAGATTTTTCTTGTTGTGGTTGCACTAAATCCCTTAGAATGTAGGGCGTGATTTATCCTGGGGAAAACTCAGGCCACTGCAGGCCCCAGAGAAGCTGCTTAGAAGCCTGGAGAGTTCTCATTCCCAATATGAAGGGTAACTCTGCCTGGCCCGGGCTGCCTGGGAGGCCTTTCTTTCCCAGGGCCTTTTGACTAAGATCAAGTGTAGAAGCCATCTCTGCTCGTGTGTTACAGACATGCTGGCATTTAACAGCGTGGTTCCAGCCTCTCCCTCCCAGGACACGAGAGCCCCTCAGCTCCTTATTTACTGCTGTTAGTATCACCCTACTCAGGAAGTGCAAGTTTAAGAATAGTCTGGGTGTCTCGGGTAACCTGGTCAGCTTCCTTTCAGAGCCACCCCGGGTGAGAACTTGAGTCCCAGGAGGAATTCCATTCTCTTCCTTTGCCTTCCACTTACTTCCTCCTGGAAGTTTAAGGACTGAAGTAAACACGGGCAGGTGGAAGGCTTTCTTGAGCCAGGGCTGAACTGAGAGGACTTAGGGTTCTAGAAGTGGGCACTAGAAAATGCTTGGCCTGTAAGTTAGGAGAGCCTGCCCACTCCGTGGTCTGGAGCTTAGGTGCTGTTGTTTGTTTAACAACCCCCACCCCCCACACCCCCACCCCTGCTGCCATTGTGTTGATTGCAACTCCTAGTGACTCTGTAGGGCAGAGTAGAAGTGTCTGCTCGGGCTTCTAAGGCTGTACATCTTTATGGAAATAGACTGTCACATCTGTCCGCCTGCTGGCCTTTCAGGTGCAGCCTAGCACCACTGCACCCAGTTGATGCCTCCTCTAGCCTCCTCTCAGGAGGTGCAAGCAGTTAACATACTCGCCTGCTAACAAAAAAGCAGGTTGGTTCAAGTTCTCGGTGAGGCACTGGGAGGAAAGGCCTGGTGATCTATTAAGGAAAACATCACCCCTTGAGTCCCCGCTGGAGCCAGATGGACTCTGACACACAAGTGGTTGCCATGACTTCGAACCTGACACACAAGTGGTTGCCATGACTTCGAACTAACCAGACAGCAACCGGCTTTGATCTCCTCACCCAGAAGTGCCTCACCCAGGCCAACCAGGAGGTGATGGGTGCAACTACAGTTTATTGGCGTTTGGGTTAGTATTTACTCCGGTGAATATTTTAAATGGAAAATATTGGATTTTCAAAACCCCATTTCTGCTTTAGTGAATTACATAACCTCCTCCTAGCTGCACCAGGAAATTGCACGGGGAGGACAGGTTGGCGTTGGAGATCATTGGATTAGAGCTGTAGGGCTTGGAAGAACAAGACCGTCATAATGGGTCTCACGTCTGCCTAGAACCATCCACATTGCCTGGCACCTGGGAGGACTTAGGGCCTCCTTGTGGAGTGAATCAGCTGAAGCATGCCCGAACAACCTAGTGAGAACTCTGCCACTGGATTTTTGTTTTTTCAAACCCTGAGGGCAGAGACCTATATTCTGGCTTTTCATTCTCTCTCCCTTTGCCTTAGCAGGATATTGGACTTGAAAGAGGGCCTCAGTAAATACATTACTGAATCAAATGGAGTGATCCGAAGTAACCACTGAGCGTGGTGCCATTAGCTTCGATTCATCTGTACAATCCCCTGGGATCCTGTCTTGTCTGAGGAAGACCAGCTAGATAAACGTAGCAAGTCTTAGCAATTAAATTTCATGTGGAATGAACTGCTTCTGGAGAGATTTCCCGTGGCTGGGAAGTCATTTCTGACTCAAAGCCACCCTACAGGACAGAATGGAGCTGCCCCATAAGGTTCCCAGGGGTGTCTTTCTTTATGGAAGGAATCCAGGTGGCCCAGTGGTCAAGTGAGAGGTCCATGCAGAGGCTCTGAGAGAGCAATGACTTAATGATCTACACGACGGGTCACTGTGCTTTGGAATCAAACTCAACTGCAGTGGCTCATAAGGCCGGCCCTGCCCTCCCTTGGCTTCAGTTGTGTATCATCCGTGGCAGAAAGGGTGTCTCCCTTCTGGAGACCTGCCTAAGCCTAACACCGAGCCCAGGGTCAGAGTAAGGGATGGCTGGGACTTGCCAAGAACCCTCTGTTGACCAGAGATTCAGTCTTCAATGGGCAAAGGCATGCGATCCTGCCAGCCCCCACATGTCTGTCAGGACTGTTGGGTCACCATCGGGTTTGAAATCACTGCGAATGCGCCTTGGGGTCAAGGGCTGTAGAAAGGCAGGGTCCTCGTCCCTGTTAAACGCTCTGTGGACCTGGGACAAGCTATGAACCACCTCCAACCTCACTTTAGTCACCTCTGAAAGGGAATCAAAGTTCTACCTCCCTCACAGGTTGTGGGATGAAAAGATAGGATGTTCATGAAGCCTTTGGCCCAATGACTGCCACTGGTCTATACTGATAGATTATTATATCATTACAGAAGCTAAGGAAACTGTGGAACAATCTCAGTCTGTTACGTATTGTGCGTCCACTGTCCTCTGTGTATTTGTTTCTCCATTTTAAATATTTGGCTCTGATGCCGAGCTTCCGTCTACATATGCTCTGAGCAGTCCAACAGTGTCATTAGTTGAGATTGCATCTATTTTTACCCCCCCCTCCCATTCTCAGGTTTTCATCCTGAGTCCTATTATTGTACTGCAAAAGATAGTTAATTAGTGTGAGAAATGTCTCTTTAACACTCATTCTTGGGAAATAATACGGCATTTTCCCTACCGCTTGAATCCAGACGGACTTTCTGAATCAGGAGGCTCCAGTAGACATTTATCAGAAGGACAAAACCTGGAGTCTGGTCTACCTGCAAATCCAGCTCCTGGGGAGCCAACAGGCTGGTCCTCGTCTGTGAAATGTTTCTTTCACCTTGCCGAGGAACTTGGGGACATTAGGTGTCACTGGCTTTAGACAAAGGGAGGTGTTGGCCTATCAGACACCTAATTCTTTGCAGGATTCAGAAGAGGTAGAAGATCAATCTGGTCCTTGCCCCAAGAAGCAAACAATTTGATGGGAGAGATAAGACGCGTATCTATTAAATAAACTGGAGAAAACTGCGTGCATGTTTTTAAACTCAAGTACCTGCCTTGTGGTTCTGGCATCTTGTTTTTGTGAGTGTCTTCCAGCCAGTGCTGGCTCCTGCCATTCCCACAGTGCAGAGTAGAACTGCTTCGTGGGGTTTCCAGAGCTGTGGCCTTTCAGATGGGACTTCTGGGTGGAGCCCAGCAGCCAAATTTCCAGTAGTAATGGGATGCTTAACTGTGCCATCCAGGGACTCCTTCCTGGATTTAAATTAGAAACCAAACCAAACTCACCATCATCAGTCCATTCTGACTCAGAGCAACTCTGTACTGGGTTTCTGAGACTACAGATCTTTATGAGAGCAGATAGCCTCGTTTTTCTCCTGCAGAGTGGCTGTCAGGTTTGAACTGCCAATCTTGAAGCTCCGAGCCTAAAGATGGTAAATATCGAGCGGAACGCCCCTGGATTGTGTAAAACGTTAATGTACTCTGCTGCTAAATAAAAGGCTGGTGTTTTGAGTCCACCCAGCCAGAAGCCCGTCAGAAGAAAGGCTGGCTAGCTACCCAGAAATCATTCATTACAAACCCCACGGAGCAGCTCCACTCGGGCATCTATCTGTGCACTGGAGTTGGTGGTGGTAGGAATCTGTGTTCCCCGGACAGCGTGATGGAGAAGATAGATGGCAAGTCGGGCATCAGAGGCAGGGAAAATTTGGAATCAGGCTGCCAAGGGGGCCTTCAGAATCACTTAGGGAGTGGACTGGAATGGGCAGGGCAATGTATGGGCACGCCATGGGGCTGGGGGACATCACGGGCTTGTGGAACGTAGATCCCTCAGATGAAGACGGTGAGGCTGGAGGGTCATAAAGCTGACAGGGGCACTTGAGAAGTCAAGCGAGGAGGCTCCCTCCGGAGCTGAGCTGTAGACGTGGTGTGAGATGCGAGCTCTTGATGGCAGGTCTTCTGCATTTAGGAATGACCGTCTCAGCGTGTGCTTTGCTCTCCTGGGACTGCTGTAACAAATCACCACACATGTGGTGGCTGAACCAGGAAACGCCTTCTCTCACCATCCTGGAGGCTGCAAGTCCAAAGTCAAGGTGTCCGCAGGGCCATGCTCTTTCTGGAGGCTCAAGGGGAGCGTCCATTCTTGGTCTCTGTCAGCTCCTGGGGGATGCTGACTTCCTTGGCTTGTGGCCACATCACTCTAATTGCTGGCTCTGTCTTCACATTGCTCTCCCTTGGTTATCTCTCTCTGCCTCATCTTCTCTCCATGCCTGTGAATGTTGTCTTTTGGGGGGTGGGGGGTGGAGGAGGGTCTTTGCAGATACAATTAAGGTAAAGAGCTCAATGCACCCAGCAGGCCTTGCTTCTCATGACCAGGAGGAGAGCCCTGGTCTATGACGCAGTCTCCCTTTATGAGCCCAGGGACAGTCCCACCAGGAGCTCTTGGGCACCCACGCTATGCCGGGTGCCGCTTTGAGCACAGCTGCCACAATGGAAGGGCACAGCAGCCGCTTCCTTGTCCTCTCCCCGCAGGCTCGAACGGAAGATGAGACGTGGACCAGCAGGCCACTCACCATGTTGATTTTCCTCATAGGCTGATGCTGCTACCAGCTTTCTGAGGGCGGCCAGATCGGGTAATCTGGACAAAGCTTTGGATCATCTGCGGAATGGGGTAGATATTAACACCTGCAACCAGGTAAGCTGCATGGAGGCAGACTTGGTGTCTCTGAAGAGCAACTCTTGCCTGCTGCCCTTTCCCCTGCCTCTATTAGCCTTTTCCCAGTGGTCTCAAAAGTCCCCCAGAGGCTCCCACCTGCCGCAGGGCCTGACCTTGGTGTTTCCACCCGAGGGTTCAGGTGCTGAGAGAGCAGGGCTGACTCCTGAACAGGGTGGCCTACCCAGCTCGGTGGTTCCCCGCCGTGGCTTCTCTCAGAAGCCGCAGTTGGTCCCTGCTGCGGTCAGAGATGATGCGGCCTTTGAAAGTGGGCAGGGCAGGAGGAAGCCTTTGAAGGGTGTGTGTGGGTAGTGACTTTAAGTCTCCTTTGTCCACCAGCAAGCAGCCTTTGTGGGGCAGGGCAGGAGCTCCCTCCGCCAGCCAGCACCAGGGAGGAAGGCCAGACTGACGGAGCCAGGCTGACGCTAGCAATGCCCAGTGTCCTAGCACTGCACTACAGGTGCTTGGCTTGGGGACAGGCTGGTGTGAAAACCGAGTGTGTCCGGGGTAAGACTGGAGAGCAAAGAGTTGGGTTTTTGACAAAGAGGGGTGTCGGTTACCTGACTAGAGAGTAAGGCGCCTGTGTCAGTCTGAGTACTTTAAAGAAATAAATCCACAGAAACTCATGTATAAGAGAGAGTTTTATATAAAGGTTAAGTGTGCATCAGGAAAACATCCCAACCCAGTGCTGCCCAAGCCCACAAGTCCAACATTAACCCATAGGTCCGACACCAATCCACAAAGTCCTCCTCCATCTCACAAAACAGACACTATGACGCCGACTGCAGGAGGAAAGCCGAGTCAGTGAATGTGTAAGCATCTCCGCGCTGGCAGGGGTCTTCACACGGCTGCTCCAGCACCCAGGGCTGCATCGGGGTAGGTCCATGCAGCTTCTCCTCAGGGATGTCTTGCAGGAAGTGAGCCTTGCCAGCTAAAGCAGGGAACTGGCTAAGGCAGCTGCACCCTGGTCCAGCCATCAGAAAGCAAGAGACCCGAGAACTAGAAAGGCGAGACTCACCGAGCCATTTATCCCTCCGCCCCTCAATTAACCCCACCTGTGTTTATCGGCCAGGTTGGCACAATAAACTAACTACCTCAGCGCCCTCTAGAAAGAAAGCGGCCCCAAGTGCGGCTGGGCCTGTGGGTCCCACGCCTCTCCCCACGCAGCGTCCGGGAACACATCTGCAGAACACAGGTGACGTTTTCCTTGGGCAGCATGCCCCTCTATCCCATTAGCCCCTCTCCCCTCTCCCTCTCGTCCCTGGTAAAAATCCAAAACACCGCTTTGTCTCCCTGGCCCGTCTGGATTCAGCTGGCCTTTGCTTGGTAGTGAATTCACAGCTGAAAGACCGGCGAGGGCGTGGCCGGCGAGGTGTGTGAGAGGAACAGAGGGGGGGATGACCTGGGAAGCGCAACCCCAGGGACCCGGCTTTCAGAAGGGAAACAAACCTTTTAGACTTGACCCGTGTGTGCAAGCCCTGCTTCCCCTTCCCTCACCCCCCACTAAGTAGCCCAGCACCCACATGCATAAGCCCGGGGGCGTTTGAGGTGGTGGGACGCCCACATGTGGGTTAGCCTTCAGATAGCTGGTTTGGCACGCCGAATCCATGTCTTCCGTGGGGAGAGTGGAAGGAGCCGGATACAGGAGCAGGATGTGAGCTGTGCAGTTAGAATGTCTGGAGATACTCGGACCACCACCCCGCTTTTAGAAGCAGGTGCCAGGCTGCCCTGTGTTGTCCCAGTGCCCCCAGCGGCAAGGGGCTTGCCCTCTCTCGTCCCAGTGTGCCAGCAGCCCGTGGGGATGCCCTGACGCTGTTTTTGTGCAGTGCAGCGAGAAAGAAGCACCCAGGCAGCCTGGCTTCTCCGCAGTGCAGCTCCCTGCTCCGGAGCAACCGGCCTTCCCTTCCCAGGCCTTCCAAGGGTGAAGATCCCAGCCCTCAGCGGGGTCCACTTAGCAGAAATGGGGACACCCGAGCGTGCCTATGACTGGAGCCGGTGCTCATTTTCCGTGTGGAACTGGAAGGTTTTGAGAAGCCCAAGGAAAGGTTTTTGCCTGATTAGTCTCCCTTTGGTGAGGCCAGAGGCTGGGGTGTATGTCTGGCCTGTCCCTCCGCCTTCTCTCCTCAAGGCACCTCCTTGGTTCATTTCAGGCTCAGCACCCAGGGAATGTTTGCACCTTATTGACAGTGTTTCTGATTGGCCGGATGCCAGTGCCAAGTAGCTCTTCGTGGTGCTAGAGGCCGAGGGGAGGCCCCGTCACAGGCTGGAGGAGAGGAGCAGAATGCTGCAGGGAAGAAAATGGATTTCAGAGGTGCAGGAAAGAAAGTGTTAGCCACAGTGTTCAAAAGCCCCTGGGTGGCTGCTGGGGTGCCTTCCCTCCCTCCCCTCCCCTGCGGTTCCTCACACCCTGATCCTGGCTCTCCCTGTCTGAGGGTCTCCCAGGCTGGCCTCTGTGAGAGGGAGGGAGCTGCAGGCAGGCTGTCTTGGAAAGGTGCTTGTCAGCGCAGCCTGGGTCTCGCTCTGGTTGTATAGGGCCATTTATCAGCTTGGGGTTTGCTTTGGAGGGGAGAGTGAGCAGTGCAGAGAGGAGGGGGGCTGAGGTAGCTGAGCTCAGGCCCTCATTAAGAACATGGTGCATCCGTCCGGACCCCGCTGCTTCTCGATGCTCCCAGGACCCGCCTCGTGGTGGTATGGGAGCGTGCTCTCTGATGCACATGTCCCTTGTTTAGAGAAGACAAAAACAGGCTCTTGTCCTGGGATCACGGCTTGAGGATTTGCTTTTCCGGTTTGACTCTTTTGAACTTGAAGACGGTGGTGGCGGCAATAAAGAAATATTGATCGTTACATAAGGAGCACACTTTGAAAACGTGTATTTTGTGGAAAGTGTGTGCGCTGCCAGCCATTATCGGAAGTAATTGCTTTCAGTAGCCTGGAAAGGGGAGCTCTGGGCTTATGTAAGAGACACCTGAATATTCTGGGCCAGTTTCCTTATCACATAAATTACATCTTACTAATATTTCTTATTACTGGTATTGCACGTACAGGGGGGAGAGCACCATGACCCGCACACAAGTGTGCACCAATGTCTTTATTGAACTCAGTCAAGCCTCGTCCAAACCCCAGCCCATCGGTCCATACCATCATGTACTTCTCCCTGTGGATACAGAGTGCTGGCCCTAAGACAGAACCCAACCCAAACCCCAATGCCCTCCAGTTTGTTCTGGCTGACAGCAGCCTTCCAGAGTGTCTCCAAAGCAGACAGCCTCCCCTTTCTCCCACGGAGAGGCTGGTGAGCTTTGAACCGCCTACCTTGCAATCAGTAACCCTTAACCCATAACACCGCCAGGACTCCTCGAGCTTTTGAGAGGGAATAGCAAAAGACAAATACACGCAAAAACTCGTTGTCTTTGTTTCCTCTGCCTTGTATTCATATGCCAGTGAGAGCCAGTCATCCAGTTGGTAAGCAAGTGGTTCAGAGCCGCCCAGGACAGACACAGGCCTTAAGGAGAGCCTACGAGAGACACGACCCAGCATGGGCTCAGGGAAGGGTTCTGTGAGGAAGTCATCGTGGAGCTAAAGGAAAATCACATGGGAAAGACCAAGCCCACCGTCACCCAGTCGATTCCGGCTCTTGGAAGCCCCCTGCGCTGCCACGCAGGAAGGGTTTTCTTGGTTGTGCTCTGTACAGAGCACAGTTCCAGGCGTTCCCTTCCCTGGCCCGTGGGGATGGTTCAAACCACCGACCCATAGGCTCCCTTGCCCCACTCCAAGATCAGCGCTAGACCAAAGGGAGGGTTAATGAGGTGGACGAGGGCAAGAGTGTTCCAGTCAGGAATGCTCACCTGTGCAAACTGTCAGAGACAGGAAGAACACCTGGAAAGGCGAAGGGAGATCAGCAGGCAAGAGGCTGGGCTCGTGCTGGACCTGACCTCCGACACCTGGAGCAGTATGCCCCCGGGCAGGGCGGTGCAGAAGCACCCGTATCTCTATTGCACCAGCGTTTAACCCTGGCGCTGCAGCACAGGGGAGAGGAAGCCTGGGGAGAAAAGGGAACCAGAGCAACCGAGACTTAGAGCTAGAAGCAATGGCTATTGGCCGAGAGGAATGGGCATATTTCAGCATTTTAAGACAGTCTGTACAGCTGTGCTAATGCACCCTGGTTGAATGGGCACTCTGTTCCGACAGGCCAGGTGAAGGCTTCCGTCTTCCTCCTGAAGGTGGAGGGACGTTCACCGTGGATTCCACCATAAGCGAGGCTTGATCAGAATTGTGCTTTCAGGCATCATGGTGGCTACTGGGTAGAGAAGAGACTGGCGGGCATGTGCATGAACACGGGGGAGCCAGTTAGGAGATGATTCCAGTAGTCCAGGGGAGAAATGTTGGTAGGAGTCTGTGGGTTATGACTTGGGTGGTGGAGGGAGGAGAAGGAGATGGCCAGATTGACCCTCGGAGGTCCGACTTTTGCCGGAGAGAGATGATGGCACCACTCCCTGAGGCAAGCTGGACTGGAGTGGCCTCCGTGTGGGAACAGGGGAGGGAGGGAACAAGGCAGGACTGTGTGGAGATTCTGTCGGGATGTCTTTGAGGCGTCTGTGTGATGTACGAGCCTAGAGCTTAGATAAAAGCTCTGACCCAAAGATAGGTATTTGGAAGTCGCTCAGCTTTCTAGGAAGTTGAATGTTCAGGACGCTGGGTGGCATGAAGTACTGTTGTAGGCCAGAGGGACAAAGGCTCTGCTCTCATAGCCTGTATTTCTGAAGTGGAAGACAGATGAAGAACAAGAAGCTGAACAAATGTGTCATTTCAACTAATGATAAGCATGGTGGATGAGAAAATAAAGCAGGTAAAGGGCCCTATTTGAGAAGGGCAGTTAAGGATACAACTCTGAGGAGATGATTTGTGAGAGACCTGAAGGATGTAAGAGAGCAGCGACCATGTGGTTCTGAGGACGTTCATGCCTGGAGAGAAAAGATGCATGTGCA